AAAGAAAAGAAAAGAAAAGAAAAGAAAAGAAAAGAAAAGAAAAGAAAAGAAAAGAAAAGAAAAGAAAAGAAAAGAAAAGAAAAGAAAAGAAAAGAGGGTGGGGGGGTGGAAGAAAGAAAATGAAAGCAGTTTCTGAGAGTCTGTCATATTAAGCACAGAACAGTAGATCCACTAGTGTTATGCAACAACCATCTTCACCCATAAAGCAGCAGAGCCAGTATAATTGCTTACACAAATCACTCTTGAATACAATAAACTTTTGTTTATCTTATAAATACAAAGTGCTTAGAGCTTCTCCCAGTAGCCATTAATTAAAATGTATAAAATGTTTGCATCTTACCCTGTGAAACAAATTCAACATCATCATAACTTTCTTCGTTTTCTAGGTTTCTGTAAGTATGAAAAAGTAGAGGTGAAACCTATGAAGATGGTTTTATGATTACATTTTCATTAACCAATTTTTTGTTGCTTTTAATTATCTATTTTATTCAAAGGCTGAACAGTCTATTGAGCCCTATATCCTGCTTAAGTACACACAAGATTTTCTAAATTGTTCTCTCTGACTGTGGTTCAGTGTTTCAGGTGGGGCCACCTTGATCCAGAGTAAAAACATCAAAGTGAGACAAAGGCACTCAGAGCATGGTACGAAAAATAACATAAGCAGATGGGCTGACTGAATGGAAAGAATCTGTTGGACTTTTTAACCATTTTTACAGGTGCAGGCTTCTTACAGTGCAAAAGTACGTCCAACCTTTTCTCAATACTAAATATATCTCTGAGACTTTGACTTGTTGGGTTTAAAGTCTAAACAAAGGACAAGAGAAACAATGATGAAAAGGTAAGGCCAGGTCACCAGGCTTATGTTCACTCACATTGTTTCGGAGCTGGGCTTGCTGTTTCTGGGAGGCAGACTGGGAGCTGCTGGCACCTGCAGGGATGGGTGAAAGGCTGGTGGAGGAGGTGGCACAGCAGTGTGTGATGGAGGTACTGGTGGGGCAAGTGCTGCTGAGGAAGGTGTTTTCTGTTTCAAATCTTCATTTTTAGGATCTGAAATATAGAAGAACAGATTGAATTTATCAAACAAACACCTGAGGAAGAAACTTTGCTGTGTTTGGTGAAGTTTTCGGGTAACATATCAGTCCTGCACACAGCCCAGAGAAAGTGTATTTTGTTGAACCTGCTCTTAGATATTTTTGCTGCATTATCTTAGCACACTAGAGAGAAGGAGGCTCTGCATTCAAAAATGTTCTCCTTGTACACTGCCATGAAAATGCCTTTGCTAAGACATGAACTAGACACAACACCAGCACAGTTCATCCAATATATTAATTCTTGTGTTTTAAAGTAAATTACAATTTAATTCCACAATTTGCTTAAAAAGACCAGCTGCAGAGTTTCATATGAGCACTGACATAGTCTTGCTGAGATTTTCTTGCTCAGAAAAAGAGTTTTAAGGGAAGGGATGAGAGACAAAAATATATTTTGTCCTTTATAGAGAGAGGTACAAGTCTCCGAACATCTTCAAATACATTTTTAATATAAGTTGTAGAAGTCTGGACTTTTCTAGCAAGCTCAGATTTGAAAAGTGGCAGTCTGTGAAGCTGCACAGAAGCTACACCCTCAACAGTAGCCTTTAGGTGTAGCCTCAAAAACTGAAAAACTGATGGTGCTGTGCATTAGGCACAGAAGCCACAATCACATGAGTGAGCTGGTATGCATGTGTGCTGCACTGAATTAATGCTCCCTGCAGAAGCCACAACTAAACTACTGCTCTGAGGGTTGATTTTGAGAGAAATTATTCTACACAAGCAAATTAAATCAGGGTTTGGATGCCATGATGTTTTTGAAGTATTTTTTAAAAAAATATTAGTGGATTAAAATCTACCAAACAAGAACTATCCCCATCTGCATGGAGAAAAGTCCAAGGAAACAGTGGGAAATCCAGGAAAGTCCAAGGAAAATGAGAACAGTGGGAAAAAAAACCATTCAGAGTTCTGTTGAAATCAATTACGGCTGAGAAGAAACTCCTTCTTTTTGGAGAATTTATTAAAGTTCACACCTGCAAGAGATTAAAATCTTGTCAAGTAAAGGAAATGATAACCTCACTGAAAAAATAGTGGTTCAAAACACAGAACAATGACAAATATTTACTAAAGTTTAATGGCAAGACTGAAAATTGCAAGAAGCCATTGGAAGAATTTTTTAGCTTATTGGGTGTCTGGAATTCTGTCCTTATGATAGACAGAAAAAGGGAAGTTGGTAACTTTAGGATGGACCCTTCCATATCTCACATGGAAATCAAAGTGAAATTACCTAGCCTTGACAGTTTCTCTCCTTAATAGCACACAAATAAAAAAATTATGGATAAACATTTCTTCATGGATGCTTAGACCAACTTGTCAGCATACAATGGTGCATTTTAAACCTGTTAAGTTCCTTCATTACTTAAACAGCAAAATACTGATAGTCCCAACAAGGATGATTACACAAATGAATTCTTTTGTAGTTTGTGCATTAAGGAACATGCATATTACAAAAGAAGATCCTTACCATTTAAGACATATCAAGATTAAATTTGCACCACTTATTTTTTTTAACATTTTATTTAAAATTAGTCCAAAATAATCCAAAAGTCAAGTGAAATAATCCTTTCTTTTAGTACTGAGGAGGCTACAGCAGGGTCAATGTCAGCTGGAGAGTACCCAAAGGAGAATAGTGAGAATGAGGTCTAGAAAACATAAATTCCTGAATATATTGAACAAACGATGGCGGTTTAGAGAAATGTGGTAAAACTGGGGTAGAACAAAATTAATACCTAAGTCTCTGGTGGTGAAGAAAGGAATAATTTATATTTTCCCCTCTTCTTTTCCATAGTGAAGAGGCAATAAGTAACATGCTTAAAGGCATGAAACATTTGTTAGAAAGCACTTTCTAACAGTGAAATAAGTTCTAGTACAGTTGTTACACTGTACATTGGGATGGACATTGACATAGCGACAAACAATTTCTTTATATCCCTTCCAATTCACTGCTGACATCCTTTGATTGCTGTCCCATGTGTTATATCACATTTGAAATATTTGTTGCTATCTGGAGATCAACAGCTGGAACTATACTAAAGTAACATTTTGGCCAAAATGTATCTTTCAGTTGTTTGAGAGGTGTTGACAAGAGAGAATACTACAGAGTTTTTGTAGTGGTACTTGTTTAAGCTTGCTTACTATTAAAATCTGCATATTACTATTTTCTAAGTTCCTCAGGCTTCAGGTTCTATTACTTTTATTTTTACCTTTGCACACAGGGCCAAAAGACTTTTTATCACTACTGTTTCATACCCAAAAGGTATTGACACCACTGGAATTATAACTCAGATGACTTTTCAATGATTTTAAAAGCCTTGACATTTCAAATCTCATTTAAGGGTACTTTTATTTTTTTCTTTTTCTTCCCCACATAGCAATTATTTCATAGCTATTTCTGTTATCTCTCCAATTTTCCCAACACTGCAGAAAATCTGGTACTGGAATTCTACAGAGCATACACTTGTTTGTCACATGTAATGATGAAAATTGCAAGTCATTCTTCATCTGGCCATACGTCTACTGATTGCATCCAGGGGGTTTCAGTATTTTCTGCAATTGTCATCTCCTCCTATTTTGGAAGTGCAGATTCCTGACTGTTAAACTAATACCCCATGAGCAAAATGTTTTTATTCAGAAACTTTGTAACTATTTGAAAATTCTTTAAAGGTAAAACTCCAAGAAGCTGATAACGCTAATGCATCATACTCTTGTATCTCATTTTAGTCCTTACCCAAACTGCTTATAATTTGATTTTTTCTTCCAAATCATTACAGAACCTTGTTTCATAGGTATGGTTTACATTTCTTTATTATATATGTACAATTGCACTTGAATAAAAGCAAACTCATGACTGTGCTCTTGTTGTATCTGAATATTTGCAAACAATTTCTTAGCATTTAATTCTTCACAGTCTTTATTCATCCACAGACTACAATTCCTCATTGCCCTAAAACTTCTTATAAAGATGAATACCACTGATATGTATCACCAGATAAATTCTAGATTCTAACCAAAGAAAACAATCAGAAAGGAGTCTGTTTTTTGGTTTGTTTGGTCAGGGTTTTTTGTTGTTTTGTTTTGTTGTCCTGAATGCCATGTTAAATAGTAGTATTAATACTCTCATTTATTTTTGTGTTTTAATAGGGAACCCCATATCAGTTTTTCTATGGTTCTATGTTGTCCTAACAGAGTGTTGTGTATGTGCACAACAGGCATATGAACCTTTTGTCTTCATATTGTATTACTTGTGATAAGTCCTTTTAGGACTAAGGTAAAAATTCTTCCCAAGTCTCTGTGCATAATACTTCTTTCATCTGATGTCTCTTGAGAGTCAAATCCAGGCAATAGGAAAGTGAGCCAGGAAAGGACACCACATGCATTTTAGATTAAGAACTTATTTTTAAGTATAAAGTCTGAACAACCTGTCCTTTTTAATTTTTGTAGTTTGTTAAAATCTAACAGTAACTAAATGAGCATCATATTAATGGAAATACTGGTTTTTTATTCTCTATTAGAACTGACTCTTCTCTGCCTTTGGAGTTTTAATTAATTTAATTAGTTACACTTATGACCGAGACTGATGTAGGTGTAAAATACTTAAATTCTAATACTAGAAATTGTGGAGTGATTTAGGTAGGAAAGTGACATGCTGAAAAGCTGTTTGGAAAAAAAAAATTGTAATAATCAGGCCTGCTGAGCCAAAGCTAACATAACATTTCAATAGTGGTTTTTTTTTCCTGTTTTAATGGAGCATTTAATTTTGACTCCAGTTCCTATATATATATATATTTTTTTTTTTTTTATCTGGGACATTTGGTACTATAAAAACATGGAAAAGCTCTGTGGAGATAGTGGAACAGTAGTCAGCTGCAGACACTCAGATCAAGAAATTAAACTGAAACTACATCCTGGCTTCACGTGCACATGAAGCACTCTCATCACAGTATCACAGTAAACAGTGTTAAGAGTGGTCACTATGTGGTAGCTTTGACAGGTAACACCTTGGTTTCTAAATAGCCTCTCCTCTCAGGACTCTCAGCTTTTTCACATGTTTTGCTGCACTGAATAAATAGAGGCAGAAACGGAAGCTCGTCAAATAGAAACAAAATAATAGAAACAAAATAATAGAAGAAAAGGCACTGCAGCTGTGTAGAGAAACTTGCCATAAAAACTGTCCACAGAATGTCCGAAATATCCCATTATACTGCTGCTTGTGGCATTAAACTTCTTTAATCATGCCCAGATCCTCAGCACTTACAGTTCAACTATGTACAGAACACTGCAAAAATCTATTTTATGTTCTTGGAGAGCCTTCTCAAATAGCTTTCATATGGGCACTGGCCATAAGTTCCCTTACATTCTTGGGAATGTTTGTTTATCAGGAAGTGAAAGACACTGAAATTGTCTTGATGCAATACTTGTGACTTTGACCCTTGGCATTCTTGGCTTGTGAAAGGGAAACACTAATACATCTTTGTTCACCAGTGTGACATCTAGAGAAAGATCCCATCTTCTCTTCATGTCCAGATATTCAGTGTTCAACAGCAGAAGAAATCAACCTGCATAAAAGAGCATTTCTATGCCTCTCCCATGTAAACTCAAAGAGAAATCAGTAGAAATCAGAAGGCTGGCTCTTTCAGAACTTGTGAATTCTATGTGAGCAAAAACATTCAGGGCAAAGTGAGAAAAGGCCATTCTCACCCTGTTAAAACCTTCAGTGCTGTCCTGAGAGACTTTATCACTCTGTCCTGAGATGCTTATACCATAAATATGTGGCAAAAAGAAGGGAAGCCCTAGCACTGCCTGAAGTCTGCAATGGAATACACCTGGAACAAGCATTACTTGGTGGGATGGGAATCTTGTGGGAACCTGTCCTTTGGTCACAGATGGTTCCCTGTTTTCAAAATTGAAAAATGAGCTGGACTCATGTGCAAGGGATTCATAAAACCTAAATGATATATCTCT